AAGTCTAACCATTTCTCTACAAAAGACATACAAATTATTAGCAGGTATATAAAAAAAGATTTAAATGCTTAATATCGCGTATAACCAGCTGTGAACCCTGAAAGCTACAACAACAAATAATCTGGCAAGACATGCCCATCGGTGCCACAGGGGCACATACGTCACAGGAATGACTGACCACTTTCTGACTGAATTCAACTCCCACTTCATAACTTAAAATTCACACTTGACCCCACTGTCAGACTAAGAACCCATGACTAAACTGACTGACTGTAGACCCTGGGGAACCCGCTACCATTACTCTGCTAAAAAGACACAGCACTAAACCTAATCCTAGTGACTTCATGCTCCACCCACAAATGAGGTCATCTTCTGGCCCTGGTCTGAGGAGCTTCTCTTTGCAGTATATGGCTACCACACAGTTTTCAGCCATAAAAAGTCAATGAAATGCTGTCGTTTGCAGCAATATAGCTAGAACTGGGCATCATCATAGTAAGTTAAATAGACCAAGCTCAGAAAAGCAGCTACTACACAATTTCACTCCTATCTGGAGCCCAAAGAGTTTGAGTCATCCAAGCTGAGAGTAGAACAGTGGTTGCCAGGAACCAGGGACAGCAGGGAGGAGGGAGGTGCCAGAAAGTTGGCAGAGTGCACTAGCTCATCACACGAGAAGTCATTTTGGTGCTCTAGAGAGTAAAGACGGTTGTATGATTATTGTGTGTAAATTTTAAATCACATGCACCAAAAAAAAAAAAAAAAAAAAACAGAAAAGTATCGTCTTTTCCACTCCGGTTATTTGAAATTGCTCGGTGACTACAGATTTGAGGTGCCCTGATCCTTGCTTGTAGAATCTTCTCCGGGAACTGTTCTTTTCAATGGCTACTTCTCAATAGAAACTCACAGCCAGCTAGGTCTGTCCCTTATTCACTCCATTCAGAGCGCTCCACCTTCAAGGACACAGAGAGAATGAATGACCCAGCACGTTCTTGAAAAGAGCCAAGATTACCTACATTAGCCGTTTCATTTTGAAAAGCCCTGGAAGTTTGCAATCTTGTTGAGCTAGCTTTCAGTTACAGACCCTCAGACTGGAGCAGCTTGTCTTTTGCTACAGGCCCTCTGATGCCTTCTGCTGCTCCATTAGCTCCAGGGATCTTTCCTCCTCTACTGTATCCAAGGCCTTCACTGGTGCACAAATCAGGCCCTGGCATTCTGCCTTGCAGGCCTGTCACCTTTTGTTTGGCAAAGCCAGGGCTTCTTAGCACCACTTGTTTGTCTCTCCTCAGCAATGACTTGTTCTCTAAAACTGTTCTTTGTGAGAAGAGTCTCCCAGCCAGCTCTGCGCTGCTAGCATCTGAGTCATGCTGTATTGGCTCAAGCTGCTCTTCTATGTATTCAAGGTGCTGCATGCTCTGAATATTAGCAGAAGTTAATTTTATTTTATCTGTTCCACTTGAAGCAGTCTTCAAAACCAACCATCCAATTTAATAAAGTCACTCACAAACTAGAAGGTCCTCATGTTAATTGGGGAAAAAAAGCTAACAATCATTCACCAAAATCTACTAAAAGAGTTTCAGTAATATCCCCACTCACAGAAGAAAATGCCCCAGCACCTCTGGAACTGCTGAGAGCTCCCAAACCACACTCAGCAGAGATATATAGAGTTAAAGTAAACAGCAAAAACACTTAAGATTTTCTACAGGATGGAGGTATAGACAAGTCAAAAGGCAAAAATATAGCTCCCAAAGGAGACTCAACCCCCTCAGGAAACTGACATGAAGAGAGATCATTTGGGCCTTCTGATGCTGTATCTTATCCAACCCCCCATTTATAGTTCAACAAACCAATCAGACTGTATATGGACAGGTTATAATCATCTATTCATGCAATTATTACAAACTGACCTCGCCCTATAAGGTAGATTCTATATTAAACACTAGGGAGATATCGGTGAACAGTCTCTAACAGGAGGCTCTGAATTAGTCACAACTTGTAAGGTTAAATAGAAAGAGGGGACAGCATAGAGCCATGAAATGCTCCAAACATAAAGGACAGTTAAGAGAGTGACACCAGGAAAAATACAAAGCATGGAGGAAGTGAGAAAGGAAACTGGCTTCCACCTCAGGTAACAGATAGTTTAAAAGGCATTCACAATACTGAGTCCACAAGAAATTAAAATGAACAAGAAATCAGTAGGGGATAACACACACATACACACAACAACAGAAGGGATAACACACACACACACAACAGAAGGGATAACACACACACACAACAACAGAAGGGATAAAACACACACACACAACAGAAGGGATAACACAAACACACAACAACAGAAGGGATAACACACACATACAACAACAGAAGGGATAACACACACACAACAACAGAAGGGATAACACACACACACAACAGAAGGGATAACACACACACAACAGAAGGGATAACACACACACAACAACAGAAGGGATAACACACACACAACAGAAGGGATAACACACACACAACAACAGAAGGGATAACACACACACACCAACAGAAGGGATAACACACACACACACAACAACAGAAGGGATAACACACACACACACAACAACAGAAGGGATAAAACACACACACAACAGCAGAAAATCACATCTGAGTTACTCAGGTCTGAGCATTGGAGGATGGATGTTAAGACCTTGGACCTGTGTTCTGTGTGTAGCAGGTAACATGAAGCCTGCTCCTAACTGTAGCATTCTAAGGGAAGTGCCCTGTATATATCTTGGAAAAGACAGGAAAAGCTCTAGGCTGGAAACAGTATAGTAATCTCTAAAAAAGAACTTTCTATATAATCATTCTTTAGCATAAGCCTGGGGTTCGAGTGCAGCTATTCACATGAACGGGGCTTAGGTGGGGGTTGGGGGTCTGTGTTGTCTTGTGGAAACAAATAAATCCTATCTGGAGAAAAGGATCCTCAGGTTCCTTAAGAACTACTTTTAAGATTTTCCAAAACTGTACTCATATTTTATAAAACACGAATTGAAACTTGAGAAAAAAGTCCAGCATAAGAATCAACAAAAATCTATAAGAAACTTAAACTTCAGATATCAAATCTAAAACAAAAAGTAAATATTTATGAGATGCCTACAGAAATAAAGCTAGAAGTGAATTTTGAGAAAGAAACAAGATATATTGAAAGTTATTTGACAGATCTGAAGAGGAAAGATAATGGAAATAGGTTTGATATCTTGTGTTGACTCCCTGGGATCTGTCCCATCTACCCTTCCCACCACACAAAGGTTGGTATCTGTGGGCAATCAGACCAGGCATGCTGCCTTACTTAGGGTTTCTACTGCTGTGACAAAGCACCATGACCAAAGAGCGAGTTGGAAAGGAAAAGATTTATTCAGCTTACACTTCCAGATCATAGTCTATCATTGGAGGAAGTCAAGAGAAGAACTTAAGCAGGGGCTGGAACCTGGAAGCAGGAGCTGATGCAGAGGCTATAGAAGGGTACTGCTTACTGGCTTGCTTCACATAGCTTGCTCAGCCTGCTTTCTTATAGAACCCAAGACTACCAGCCCAGGGATGAGACCACCCACAATAGATTGGACACTCTCTGCTTGATCAGTAATTGAGAAGATGCCTTACAGTTGGATCTCATGAAGGCATTTTCTCAACTGAGGCTCTTTTCTCTCTTGTGTCAAGTTGAAATATAGAACTAGTCAGTACGCATGCTATGGACCCTTCTGACCAGGTTTGGCCAAAGTGGAGAACAGACAGGAGACCAGTGGGAAGAGAGTGAATCTGAGTGTTTACACTCAGGTCTCCTTCTAAGGAGGCCCAGAGTTGCCTGTACCTGTGGTAGAAGTTCATGGCTCCAACCTGCTCTCTGTATCCTTCCTTTATGAAGCATCCACTGACTTCTCATCCATCACTGCCACACCAGAGTCAATTCTTCTTGTGGACGGCCTTCAGTGTAGCCAGAAATGGACAGAACACTACAGAAAAATGGCGGTCCTACTAACAGCACAATTTTCAATAGTAACATCAGTCAGAGAATGACGAGATGATGTCTTCCAAATGCGGCTGAGAGGAGGAATTGTGTCACAGTACTGTTCAATGGCAAGCAACATAAGCAACAGTTTAAGGAAAACAGAAATCAAGAGGATTCTCTAATAATAGCTGTTCCCTACAGTAAATATACATGGAAATAGTAAAATTGCATGAACATATTGAGAGTAAGGAAATTTAGTAAAGTATCTGACAGCAAAATCAAAACATCACAATCAACACTGTATCTAAATGCCATTGACAAAGAGATGATATTTTAAACAATACAATTAAAATAGGACAGCTAAAGATAAGTGTAATGCAGGAGATAGCAGGCCTCAAGTTAACAAATAATGGACCTACTGAGATACACAAACAAAGAGAGATAGGTTATGTTCATGGAAACGAAGACTATAATCAGAAACACAAGATGTCTGATCTACTCAAATTGACTCAATGATTAACATCATTCAAATCGCAGAACCACAGAGGCATATGGAGAGGCATAGACATGCTTAGTTTTTCTTATATAATGCATGCATGTACGCATGCTATCTTATATTCAAAACTGAAAGTTTAGGGAGAATTCAGTATCAAGAAACTCAAGAAAATATTTTTTAAAGAATAAGTTAAAACTGTCCCTGATAGTGCCAAATGATCAAGTAAAATTAAAAACAGAAATACCTAAAATATATAAAGTTTCTTTTTCAACCACCTTAATGGCCAGCTTTCACTGGACTGTGGAGATGGAGGTCAGACTAGGCTTAAATGGCAACTGTGGGAAATTTTGAATACCCCTGCCTCAGTTCTTAGTTCTCTCCTCCAGAAGAGGAAGGAGGTGGCCAGAAGAGAGGAAGGAGGAAAAGGGAGTTTTATTCATTTGAGTAAGTGAAATATTGAATATGTTCACCTGCAAAACGATAGGAAAGAAGAGAGAGGAAAGCACAGAAGATGAAGAAAGTGCTCACCAGATGTCCTTCAGGCTGCAGGCAGGATTTCAGCTGAGAGCAAATGTCCAGATTCAGTTCAGCCTGGAAGAAGACCAAAGAACGCTGACAAGAAGCTCCAGCAAAATAGAGCAGGTGAGAACTTATTAAAGGAACCATTTCTGCATTTGTTTCAGAAATGAACAAATGAGAGGTTCCAAAGATGTACTCCTCCCTCACGCCATTTTCCTTCTCCCAGCTTCAGTGCTGATGAGTCAAAGTAGCAAGCCCAAGACACTTAGATAGGCAGACACTGTCAATACTTTTGTTATGTATTTACCAGCAGAGAGAGGTCCCATTGCCTGCCTTCTAGTTTCATGCAGCAGACTGAATCCTAGGCCAGAGAGGGCCCAGCACTTGCTGCTCTGTTCTCTTTGACTCTTCAAACATTATCTGGAAGACAGCTATGGGGGTGTGGGGGGGCGAGGCTGTAAGATTGCACAGCTCAGAGTGCCACAGACACAGCTCAGAGTGCCACAGACACAG